ATTTGGTATGTGCATTCTCTTCATTGGGACGCACCTATAAAAAATATTAAAAATAAATTTTCGATAAAATACAATGACCAAAATACCCCTTGAATCTTTCAGGGGTATTTTAGTCATTTTATTTTATTGATTTTTTTTTTTGTAAATATTTCGCTAGTGTAAGTTTAATAGAAGAATGGACATCCAAAATTTAGTGTCAAAATAATTTATAGAAAAAAATTAAAAATAAAATAGTATAGTACTTGACATTGTGATTGGAACAATCTTAACCCTCTATTAAGAATGGACGGTTGGATAAGGGAGAGGATAGAACTTCTATGCCGCATGGAAAGCATACAAAGCTTGCTCAAATATAGGTGGCAAGCTAACCTTTAATTTTCTCTGTTTTGGTTGGATTACCATAAACATGTGTAGGCATACTGGTACCCCATTTTAAATATAAAATACAAACTCATGTTTATTAGCTGAGTCAAAATACCCTAGTATTCTTAATTTCTCATAATAAAATGAAGCTCTTGGAGTGTGCAAGACTCTGGCCACTAAATTTTCGATTACAGAGTACAAGGAAAAGGCTGAGTAAATTATTTTGTTACACAAATAAACCAAGTATAGATTGACGTTAGTAATGTTGAAGACTTACATGTAGGCCCTGGATCCCAAAATCACAGCTAGTCAATAGCCAAAATCCAAGGGCATACAACCTTTAGCGATTAAAGCCACTTGACAAGGAGAATATAAAAACTGAAATAAAATTATAATAAAAAGAGCCCAACAAAAGGGATCCCAGGATGGTACAAGGAATGACATTCAATATTTACACTCAAAATATGGAACACAACTCCAAGTTACTAAAAAATCTTGTGTGGAGAGAGAGAGAGATAAGAAAATCTTATGAACTGAGCCAGTGAGAGAGAGATTTATGCATATAAACTAGGAAAATCTTATCAACTGGTATCAAGGATGAAACTATGGCTGAGAGAGAGAGAATGCACAAACACCCTGAAAACGTCACGAACTTGAATTTGGGGTGGTATTGCGGCTTACCCATTTATCAGTCACTGAATCTGGTGAACAAGGGGGATAAGACTTGAGCAAATTCACCTCCTCTCCCCCAAAAACCTCTGGCCCCATCTTCTTCATCTCCTCATCATTTGACTCAATAAGCCTCAAAGCTGCCGCTACCTCCTCCATTGTCGGCCTCAAATCTTTCTCTAAACTCAAACATCTAAATGTCAGTTCAGCCACTAGAGTGACCATCTTCTTAACCAAAGGGTCAGATTCGAACCCAATTTCAGGATCAACCAATTCATGAAGAGCTCGGTTCTGAATCTTGTTAATGGCCATTGTTGCTAAATTGATCTCATGTCTATGCCTTGCTATATCTACGGCTGGTTTCCCTGAGATGAGCTCTGCTAAAACCACGCCAAAGCTATAAACATCACTCTTGTCAGTCAGTTGGTAACATTGATGGTAATCGGGGTCGACATAGCCAGGGGTCCCAAGAGGGGCAGTTGAGACGTGCGTCACATCCAAAGGAAACAATCTCGACATTCCGAAGTCCGCTACCTTCACCCTGAAAGTGGCCTTTTACTAAGTCATGTGCCATTATTTGACAATCACTAGTCGAGTGCTATGTGCTTCCCATCAAGATGGCAAAACAGATTCTAGAATTTCTGACACTGAACTGGTTAATTTTCAAAGAAAAGAATGCCATAATCCTCACGAGGATGGGAAATTCAATGGGTTTCACATTGATGGTTAGAACTGGTCCTGCTATTGAACTCATCATGTTCTGGGTCCATCACCATCTAACCTATATGTTGGAGATGGCGATTCCCCCCTATGAAGATTGCAATATACTAGTGACTAAAAGCTTCATTATGAGTCAGAAAAACTCACTGAGTCAACCTGAATTCTACAAATTTATACCTGAGGTTTTCCTTTTATACAATGTTTTGTTGATTTGACCAACAAATGGTCTCTTTTAGGCTGGTAAGCATTGTGGTATGATGCAGTTGGCAATCCGCGTTTTATTTCCGCAACTGACACAATGTTTTATTGTAAAATTAACCAATTTTTTCCAAATTTAGAGTTTGACTCAGCAAATTGACTCAGTTTCGGCAATGACCAAGTCAGCCACTGAATTTGAGTTTGCAAACATCTTTCCCACTTTTCAATTGCTTATATTAAACAACTAAATTTATGTTTCCCAACGTGTGCTACATGTTCCCCATCATATGCTATTTTCAAGTTTGCAGATGGCTTAAACTCGAGGAGGGTCTGGTCCTCTCCAATCTGGTTTGAAGATGGTTCAACAGGTTGTATTAGTTGGACAAAAAAAAAAAATCAAAACATAAATAAATAAAGAAACACTATTCTAACCCAGATCTGGCCTAGTTTAAACCCAAACTTCTAGAATTTCCAAGTTCAACATGATAGACATGTTCCAGTCCAAACCTATCAAGACAGCCAGTCTAGCCAGGTTTTCACAACATTGGTTTTTATTTTATTTTATTTTATTTTTTTAACTTTTCAAAACATTGGTTAAATGCAAATTAAGTCCTTATACTCCCACTAGAATGCCCAACATTAGTTTTCACGTGCATTATAATCAAAACAATACTAAGTTTAAGCATTTGAAGTACATAAACACCGTACAGTAGGCCTCGTACCTGAAGTTGTTGTCTAGCAAGATGTTATTCGTCTTCACGTCTCGATGGATAATCGGGGGTTCGATTGAATGCAGATATGCCAAGGCATCCGCCGTCTCGATAGCAATACTCATGCGAATCTTCCATGAAAGCACACCCTTTGACTTGGATCCATCACCATGAAGGTGATCAGCCACAGTTCCATTGGGCATATACTCATACACCAATAGGAGCTCACGGCTATGGCGAGAGGTGCACCCATAGAGGCAAACTAAGTTGGGGTGTCGAGCCGATGAGAGAATTTTTATCTCATTCATGAATTGCTCGACTTGCTTACAATTGTTCTCATATAGGCGTTTAATTGCTACCAATCGGCCATCTCTTAGCTTACCCAAATAGACAGTTCCAAAGCCCCCGTCGCCGAGCTCTTTAGAGGGACTGAAGTTAATGGTGGCCTCTTCAAGCTCCTCATAGGTGAAGACAGTGATGCTAGAGACATGGATCATGGATTGCTGAAGGCTACTCTTGTACTCACCTTTCGACGAGGGTTCACTAGAGATGGCACGGGTGAGTAAAAGAGAATTCGAGCGCTTCTTCTTTTTGTAGGTGTACGCGCTGTAGAAAAAGGCAGCTAGTAGAAAAGTTCCAAATGTTGCACTCAGAACTGTAAGAAGAGAAAATTCACTATATGAATAACAGGACTGAATCATGTTGGCATACTATCCATCTATCTGCGCAAAATCACAAACAGAGGTCATAGTGTGCAGGTATGTGACAGGAAAAGGATAGATAACTTGCGATCTTGCACTAATGCAGTTGTTCATGTGGTGGAGTGAGGACACAAAATATATAGAAAAGGATGAGAGAGAGAGAGAGAGAGAGAGAGAGAGACCTATTATTATAATCATTTTCTGGCGCATGCGGTGGTTGTTACCTGCGATTTAGTAAAGATAACCAGCATTAGAGAGAGCACAATGGAGTAATTGACGAAATAATGTCACGAAAATTATCCGCTATGTAGTTCTATGTCCAGCTATGATGGAAGGTTCGTCCATATTTTTCAGTTGAACATAGCAAAAAGTTAGACTAGAAAATTAAGTACATCCAGTTACGTGGTAAGAATTTCTACTGAAGCTTGCTCTTCACCCACATGTGACTTGCTACCACCAATATGTTATTTTCTTACTGAGCTAAAGCAAATAAATCTACCATGACTGATTTATTTTTCAGTTATTGTATGAACAATTCAAGAATTTCAATGTTTCCTGCTCTCTCTATACTGTTTTCTATTTTTATTTTCCAGGTAATTCATTCCCATTATGCGATATAAAAAATTCATGAGCAGTTGAGGCCTGCTATTTTCTAGAACATAGTCTCTTTTACATCTTAAACTCAGCAGGCACAGCCGGAATGCTAGCGGTTCTTTCTATATCAACCAAAGAAACTCAGGACCAATCCAAAATCCAGTATATGATCAATTTCACAAAAACCAAGAGCAATATAAGAGATAAGTAACCAAAGATTACTTATAAAAACCAAGAGCAATATAAGAAATACGACAAATTTCTTGAAAAAAATTATAAAAGAACTGTGGAAGAAACCGAACATGGATAAGAATGAAATCAACCATAGAAGAATACCGCTGTCACAAGCTTCCCCATCCTTGCAGTAACAAGCAATCGTCGTTCTATCAGTGGCATTCAACGCACAGCGGCCACCAGAACTAGTGCAATTTGAGCACTCTGAAGGAAATTGCTCCCATTGAAGGGCAATACCCTCCTTTAAAAGCTCCAGAAGGTTCCAGGATCCATTGCCATGTTTCATAGCCTTAAGACTGGATTCTAGCACAGGATACTGAATCCAAGAACAAGCAGATGGAGGAGTTAAATTATTTACTATTTCTTGTTTATCAGTGTAATAAGTCTCCTGGGTCTTCTCGCACCCTTTAAAGGCCCAAATGGTTTCTTCGTTATTGAGGGCAGAGCGAGTATCACAATTGTAGAAGATGCTGATATTAACATAGGAGGAAGGAAGATGGAAACCGTCGATGTGGTCTCGAAGGGAAAATTTTGTCAAGTAAATAAATACAATTCCCATTGTCAAAGAAATCAGATAAGGGAGCAGTGATATTGATAGTGCGCTCAGGGTAGGATATGTTCTTAACATCATACGATTTGTCCAGGAATTTGATAGTGGTTGGGGAGCTTAACCCTCCACAATCAATTTTGAAGAGTCCACATAGCTCTGGACTGGAAGCAGCAGAGAATGGGAATTGTATATTGATGCCCGAGCAATTGACAGGAGCGCATTCTTTATAAGGATTAAAATCGTAACCTCGAGAGAGAATACAACAAAAGAGAAGAGAGAGAAACCAAGCAGGTAGAGTAGCAGCCATGGCTGACACCGAGAGAAGATGAAGGAATCAGTGTGTAAGAGGTGCCCTCAACAGAATTCAACACAAACCAACTGGTAATAACCTCTAGAATCCTAGAGAGATCGTCAACCGCAATTCACTTCTAGAGAGAGTGCAAGCGAGTTATAGGCTTGGCCAAATTCTGGCACCCTTAAAAAGGTGCTGAACTTTGCTTATAGGGCAGGAAAGACTGAAGAGATGACTCCGAGTCCTCACCAGAGAAGTGGAAAAGAGGACCCCACACTGCAAACAATCTCACAACCTTTGTGTATATTTCCAAAGACTCGGATTTCCTAAAGTATAGTCCAAGTCATTGTCAACCTCCAAAGTCTTTTCTCTACTTTGATTCCTCTTTTTCAATCAAAGAAAACCTAAAAGAAAATGGGCCCCAAAATAAATAAACTACATATTTTCAACACGTAAAGCGACAATCCCAATTAAAAATTGAGTAGAAAGAAAAAATCACACTTCGCCTTTAACGCACGCAAAGAGAAATTGAGAGGACAAAAGTGATAAATTTATCTAATCAATAATTCATCGATCGAGATTTCAACGAAATGATTTCACATCATATTAGTCTTTACCAATATCAGCCCAAATTAATTCTAAAAATTTTGCAAAAACCCAGCTATGATATCAAAATTTAAAAAACCAATCCTTTATCATCAAAATAATTACCTTTTATAGTCAAAATTTTGATGAAAATTCCATCATAAATGTTTTGAAAATCAATTAAAAATACCCATTCAACCAAAATGAGTCTAATTGAATTAGACAAATGGCTTTCAAATCTGTCCACTTCCTCTCCAAAAAAAATATCAAAATTACCCCTTTCTCTAAAAAAGATTGACGAATATGTCCATCAGTCCATGACCACTCAATTTTCTTGAGAAAAAATTCCAAAGGTTTGGCGTCTTATGAACCACAAAAGTTAGGTCAATGGGAACAAAAAGAAGAAAAAGAGAAACCCTAATTCAGAGGTAGAAAGGGAAGGACTCTTTCATGGCTTTTCTAAATCTGTAGCTATGGAAAGGGACTGCCCTGTCTTGGAATTAAGCAAAGACCAAACAACCAAAACAAAGCTTCAAATTTAAACATTCCAAGCTGCAAACGCGTTTCCACACCTTCACTTCAGTTTTTCTACATGATTCCTGCTTCTTTTGAAGAAGTTCTCTCTTTCCCATCCTTCTTCAACAAAGAGAAAAACAAAATTTGAAAAACTGAGCCACAATAACGGAGAAATCTCGACCTTCGAGAAGAAATTAGAATCAGGAAAAATGGGGTTTGACATGATTTCACTCGGGAACAATGTTTTTGACGCTATTTTGAATCTAAGTTTTTTCTTCCACAAATTTCAGAAGACTTCCTTTCTTTCTGGTTATGACTTGAGTGATGGACAGTGGCACGACAAGGTGTTCATGAATATTGATTGCCCAAATGAAGGCACCAATAACAGGGCTAAAATTGTCATATTTCAGGCTTGAAGGTCGCTTTGGAAAAGGGAAGCTTCGGGTGCAGTACCAAATAATTGAGGGGGACTAGGGACACAAGCTTTATCAGGGCTGTGCTGTTGCAAAAAGTAAATATATTTTCCAAAGAGAAATTTACACTTAATATTCAAAAGCAAGATAAAGCTGAAAAAATTTAAGCACAAACCAAAGAGAGATTACGTAGGCTACTGGCCAAATTTGAACTAATCCATCCAACATGATCACTGCTCTGAAACATGGTTATCAACTATACATCATGAATGAAGCATGGTTTTATCGAGTACACGATGTATCCGGCATCCTATTCATCTCGACTTAGTATAGAATCAGCATTAGCTATTTGCTTCTATGATAAACTGAAAAGCTAATATAGTTTTTTCAGTCAGTTTTCTGAAACAATTAATGTCTTTAAGAGCTTTTAGGTAAATTTTGCCTAAGCACTAGAACTCAAGTGCCATTTCTAAAACCAGACCTGCAGCTGGAGAGCTTTTGTTCAATTCTTTTGTTCTCGCTATATTGACAGATATCTTTGGCAGCCTGGTTGCTGAAGAATCTCGACTGAAGCAAGCCTTGAAGTGATGATATCTAGCGAAGATCAGAAAACTAAGACTGAAACATTACTAGTCCCTGCTTTCTCTCATACAAAATTACCTTTTCCCACCCAATAACTTTGAGATAGGCCACACTGGTAAATGTGAAGATGAATTCTTAAATTGATATTTCATGATGTAAACTATGATTCAGACAATAATTTCTCTAGTAAATTGACTCTATATTGACTTCATGAACAGTAGGAACCCATGCGTATTCAATTCTGTCAGTAAAGTTTTGTAAGGGATTAGTCATTCTGAAAGAATAATATCCACCCCAGGAGGCAGCAAACGCCATCTCCTCAACTTCAAACCCACTTGAGCAATCCCTTCCATTTAACCATCATTTGTAGCTTTTCAGCCCTTAAACACATATGTCTAACCAGAGTCGCTATCATTCAGCGGCGAACACCCCACACAAGAAATTCCCTGGCCCCTTGGTCCTAACACACAATGGGTATGAAACTCAAGAGTTTTGAGAACTCGTAATCAACAAAAGGATAAACAACAGAGCCAATCGCTTGATGATATGAAGAAGGGAATTTAAACAGACAAGATTCCTTTTCACATGGTTTTAGTCAGCATTCCGTGACTTGCCTGAGTCCACTTGGATTTACTCGAACTTAACCTTTGGGCGAGTTCCACAGCAACTAGCTCCACCCTTATAAATGTAGCAAAAATATATAAAAAATAGACAAGATGTAGAAAAATTGGAAAACACCACTATATTTGTTAGAAATAAGCTTTTAGTTGATATTGGTAGTTTTTAAGATGATTCGATAACTTTCATAGTTTACCCCTTTTCTAAAAAATTCTGCAATATTCCAAATCTAAATAAAAAAGTTCAGTAATCCATATCTCCTAGATCTTTTTAATCTTTGTAGTCTTCTAATTCTTTCTATGACCTTTTTATTTTCTTATTTTTAACTATTTTTATTTTTTGACCATTTTTTGGTTGTACATGACTCTGCTAATTCCACCCCGACTCGGTTGAGAGTTACTCGCCTCGGCCAAGGGGCCAGTACATGGCCAAGACGAGGTTCTGAACCTTGGTTTTAGTTTTTATCTGTGTCTAATTTTTAACTGACACCAAACTAAAACAAAAACCACAAGCCATGAGGAAGTAAAATAATGAGTAGCCCTAAAGAGATCTAAAAGCAACAATCTGATACTCCAACCCTTAGAAATTTCGATAAGAAAAGATTGTGCACTAAAGCCTTACCACCCTTACAGATATCATCTCTACGACCATTTGCACAGAAACAAATAAATTGTTGCGTGCTCGCGTTATACCCACATCTCCCACCTGAAATCTCACAAGGACCACAAGCACTCGCAGTCCATCCCATCCCAAATCCTGCCTTTAACAACCCATCCAAACCATGGGAGGGGTGTTCAAAATCCGGTGTGCCCAAAACAGGGACCACGGAAATCTCTTTACATTCATATCTGTGCAACTCAGATTCTGAGAAGCTATAATTAACAACATAGTCACTACGATCAAGGCAATGTAATGGCCCTCTGAGAGAATTTGGAATTTGACGAGAACAATTAAACAAGAAGGAAATGTTCCTGTTCTCCATGGTGTAATATAGGATAGGAGAATGAAGACTGAGACTGTAACCATGTTGAGGACAACCTTCTTCCACCAACTTTGAACTGGCAATTGTGAAAGTCTGGCTCTTGTAGTCGATACCTCTTACATAGTATTCTTCCCCTGAAATGGTTGTCATAACGGTAACATTATAGGCACACGTGATTTTAAAGCCAGGATAACCACAAAAGTCTGGTGAGACATCCATCCAAAAAGGATAACTGATACTGGGGCCATTTCCACAATCGCTAGGAGCACAAGCTTCATACTGTGGGTCATCAGATGAAGCAAAAAAGGGCAATAAGAGCATAACAAACGCGACGAGGGAAGCACCGCCTGCCATTGTTACTCGGTTTGCAATTCATAGTTCATGATCAAGAGCCTGGAGATAGTTTAGCAACTTAATAATTGCGGTCAACAATTATGAGCCAGAATCACATTTAAAGGGTATATAACAACGTTGCTGGAGAGGAATTGGTTTAAGGCAGGTGATATCAAAATGGTGGGATAAAAGGGAAAAGAGAAGAGGGTAGTTTGAACAATTGGTTTCTGATTTCTGACTGGTTCACCTAGAGCTTTTGCATTTGAATCTGTGCTTTAGCAAACAGGAGCGTTCCTTGAATAATATGCAATCAGTTGGTTGAACAGGTGAAGGTAGGTGCTGGTAGTAGTTCAACTTTTTCTTAATTGCCAGGTGCCATCCGTTGACAATAGATTAGAACCACTTCTTGGATTTATATTATGACTTTGAAGTATCATACACCTCTTAGCTATTTTCAAAATTTCTGAACTACCCCTACTGGTCAAAAGGAAAGCTCCGCCCTTTTGTCCAAAAGTAGGGCTGGCAATGGACCGGGCAGCCCAGCCCTAAAAAAAGAGTAAAGTTTGGCCCACAAACTATGGCCTGAGGTCTGGGCTAGGGCCAGTGCTGACCTGGTTCAACCCGGCCAGGCCTGTTTTTTTTCTTCTTCTCTTTTTATCACTTCATTTGTTTTTGGTCTGGCGTGGCCCCAATAAGGTCAGGCCCGACCCTAATAAGGCCCATCCCAGCCCGGCCTGGGCCAGGGGCTGCCCCGGCCCATTGCCCTTATCCAAAACAAACCACTCAATATTTGATACAAAGTCTACTGTAATATATGGAGAAAATACTATTGATTGTGGTGGTCATTAATGTAACAAGAGGATTCTGATATGGTTACAGATTTGTTCCTAGATGACTAACGGAATCATCTAGAATTGAAAGTTCATGCAACAAAATTAAATATGAAGGTATGTTTTGCCATATAATTCCAAGATTTGGAAAGAAACACTAGAAAATTTCAGATCTCTACCCAAAAAAGATGACATTTGTAGAATTTTGATGAAAATTGAAATATTTATTTTTCAAAGGGTAATTTTTTTTTCAAGGCTTCTGAACTCCCATAAGAAATTTTTAGATTTCTAAGCAAAGAAAGATAATGAGAATTGAAGGCTGCCACCAATAAGAATACAAAATACTCTAATGAAACTTATAAAAAAAGAAAACAAAAAAAGAAAAAAAACTGTTCAACTTCAAACTGAATATCCAAGAGGAATTGGTAAAATAGGAAGTATGAACCAGCTAAAAGAAGAATGAGAGCATATACTTTCTGAAACTAGAATTTTGTGATATGCACATTTCACATATGAAAGGTCAACGTTTATTTGTTCATTTTTTAGTAGAAGGACAATGACAATTGTTGCTTTCATACCTAATTAGGATTATCTAAAAGGTTCAATTATTGAAAAGTCAAACTAAGCAAACAAAAAGAAAGTTGTGAAGCCCTACAATCAGTATAAATTCAATATTTAAAGAAATATGATTATCCCTCATGCTTCCTGAAAATCACATTTCTGTGACAAACAACCCCTCATATCAAATGAATAAAGGGAAATTGATCACTTAAAAATTTCCCATTTCCTTTCAAGGTATCAACTTGAGTTGCAGAAAATGAAATCAAACATTCAAGACAAGAGAATGCATTTCCCAATTCTATTTAACTAGATCACAAACCATATCGGTGCGCGTACAGGTCCAATAAGACCTGGCTGGTTCATTGATTAGATAAAATCTAGCAAATTAATTGCTTCAGTTTTATATTTCAACTGTATATGTACCGATATTTTGATTTACTGTTGATACTCTCCGTCTCTATTCCCGAAACACAATGTTTTTGAGAAAGTATTTGTTGCTTTAAAAAGGGGATTCCTGCCTTCACCACCCAATCAAGAGGCAAAACCAAGCAGCTGGTTCATGGTGGCAGGACCCAGTTCACCTAATCAAACCGCCAAAGGATCCGATTTGGTTTTAATAACATAGGTTTATACATGCAACCCACATGCTCACAAACCAAAGAAATATGAAAAATCAAGAACAAGACCTGCACACTTTAAGAAGCCTCCTCCAGAGGATTACTATGACATGTAACATACATGCAAATGCCTACTTTTAGGATTAGAGAAAACAAAGAAGAAAAAAAAGCATAGTTAGCTACCTGCTCCTTAAATAGGTTTTATACGAAGGATCCAGTAAGTGCCTTCTCATAATAGCACTTATCTACTTAACTAGAAGGTGCAAAACAAGAATACAAAAATATTCAAATTAATTGCAAAAATAAACAACCTAATCTCTTCCTCATTACAATTACAGTAACAATAAATGGGAAGTCATTTATATTCATGGATCTTCCAAAACTATTCAAATTACCAATCTATCCCACACACTCAACCAAGATGGGGCCCGAAATCTAATGAACAGACGAAATGCTACAGGTTCCTCTAGTATACCTCAATTTATTTAAAATCACTAGGAGCTTTTAATAAAAAAATTTCAGGGCACAAACTACAAAAAAAACAGGGTAATTTCAGACAA